CCCCTTACAATTTTGCTTTTTTGTTACATGCTTTTGTTACATGCAGTTCTGGAAAAAAATTAAGAGCCAAATATTGATTTCTGGACTCTTCATGAGTTAAAACATCAGTTTTGTTGTTTCTAAATGAATATAAAATTGTTTACTTTGCATTACTTGAAGCTTTTTCATTATTTTCAATATTTGTTATTTTCTGCGAATAAATACTACATTTTTGTTTGGAATTTCAGTGACATGTCGTCAGCAGTTCATAGAATAAAAGAACAATGTTAATTTTACTCAAACATATACCTATAAAAAGTAAAATCAGAGAAACTCATAATTTTAAGTGATCTCTTAATTTTTTCCAGAGCAGTATATAAATAAAAAATATCTATAATAGTCAGTCGATTACATCGAACACCATGTTCGACTTTCAGTTTGACGCTCTTTTTCTGAAATAATGTTATATCAAATGAGACGGACACACCTAAAATATTCCCATTTTGCCTCTTAAATCCGTAGCGTATTTACTCAAAGATCATCAAGATGGTTGTTGGTGTACGTGAGACAAAACGTCTCATTGTTTTCTGTCAGCAGTGGGGGTTTTTTCCTTGGAACTCCCACAATAGGAGCCATTTTTGCCCTCTGTCTTTCTTTTTTCGTGAATTGTAAACACCGACTTTAACTGAGGCCTATAATTCTATAAATGTTGTTTTTAACCATCTGGTTGATGTGATTTTTAGACTAATTTTAGAGAACATTGTTCCTTTTGTGAATCAAATCGTAATTTTTCTTATGATTTGAAACATTTCCTTACACATCTCACTGTGTAAGGAAAAATACTTTGCTCAACACTGTGAGTAAATGTGGGTCATCGTGTCATTTGAGTGTACCGTGTGCAGAAGGAAGCAGGTATGGATCTCTGAGATAAACCACAACTGGCTGATGAGACAGTTTACTGAAAAAGAGCAAAAAGAAAAAAGGAGAAGTGAGCGGGTAAAGTTCAACGCGCCGAACTGACGCACGATCTGGGTGAAAAACAACACGAGCACATGTCCTGCTGATTTATGCGAGAGGAGGAAACTCTAAATGACTCACCTTGATTCCATTGATTCTGTGTCAAAGGAGCTGAAAAGCATGAAAGAAAGAGAAGTCAGACCACATAGTCGTTTGAGAGTCTGGGAACAAAACTGTCCCACAAACATAAACTGCCACAAATTGCTCTATTTTTCTATACTGAAGCCAACCTGCAGTTCCAACTCACCCACAGCTTTCTGTTTTTGGCACTGAAGGAAAATGGCGGACGTTGAGGAAATCCAGGAATATCTTTGGGAGGACCTCATTTTCCATAATTACAGTCTGACAAAAAAAAAAAAAAAAAAAAACAAAAGGACATTTTTGTGAGCGCACCACGCCAGGATGCAGAAACAAAGTTGCTCAATGAGTTAGGAGAGCAGACAGAAAAAGCAAACAGTCTACCTGCAGGTAGAGCTCCAGGCCGTGTCTCCTCTGCTCCAGAACTTTAGGGACCCAGTTTCTGACATGCTTCGAAGGGATTTCAGGAGGTTTTATGCTTTTTTTCAGCTGAAAAGATTCAAATTGTTAAAATAACATTTTTTTTTTTGCATTGTATAGTTGTAATAATCTTAGAATTGTGCTAGATTTTTGAATGAAGCTTTAAATATTCTATCTAGGTCGTGCTTTGTTAAAAAGTTACTTAAAGAAAATCTCTGTAACACCTTAGTTGTGTTAAAATGACTGTTTATCAATGTGCTACATACAAAAAGTTAAATAAAATGTAACATTCAAGGGGACAGTAGACCATATGTCTCGATCGGGAGTCAAGGCGACTCCTGGGTTGTTTGGAGCTTTAAAAGCATAAAACACATTTTAAAAACAGAGTTTATTGAGTTTAAAGTTCTTGGATGTCAGGGCAGACAAGTTTAACAATGTGTGCTCCACTGTTTTCCTTCAGAAAACTTGAAAATATTCAAGTAATAAAGACAATTTCTGTCACTACAGCTGGCCTGCTGCTGCGGTTTCTCTCCTTTCAAGTGTTTTGTTTTTATATACGTACACAAAACACATCATTCTGTTAATTTGTTTGATTTTATTGCCCAGAACAGCCCACAAGTTGACTGACTCCCATCCACTTTTCCCCACAAAAGAGGCAGGAAAATTTGCAGAAGGTGATGCGGCATTGAATCGTGTGACAAACAGGGAAACAGGTCAACAGTTTCCACTCAGCATTTAAATGCAGCAAAGGAACATTTTTAAATAATATTCATTAATATTCTAATTTCTAAAGATCCTTCTGCACGTCATCAGGTTCTGCAAATTCATTCTTTCACTCAAATGAGTGGAGTTGCACTCTCAAGAATGACGACTGATGAATAAATAGAACAGTACAGAGGAAGGGGTGAGAGCTTTGACTGCATTGTGAAGCCGTTTGTTACAGACTGTTGCAAAAGAAATTGGACATTACCAGCAATTCATGCTGCACACGGTGCTTTAAAACTAAAACGCAACTAAAAGAAATAAAATGCATGATAATGATGAAGATAAAAGGCTATTTAATAAGACAATTAAGGCAGCTAAAACAACAATGAGGCTGTTAAAACGAGCAATAGCTTAAAGATCAGGCAATAAAAATGTGCACATCTAATGGAGACAGACTGTAATACTGCCTAGAAGAAGGTTTGAGATTTAATTTTAGCTGCTGAAATGGACAGCATCACCTTTGGATGTGGGAGCATATTTATGGGTACATATATTTTTCTGATATTATGGTTACTTATCTGAGCACAAAAACCTCACCACAAGATAAAAAACACACACAGTCATCAAGAGAAACCTGGATCTCACCATTTTGTGCAAAGCGTGGAATTCACTGTAGCGTTTCTCAACACTGTGCAGTCTGCCGTTCACCAACACGTCAATTTTGAAGACCTGACGGAAAGACATAAAGAAGTGATTTCCTTTTGCGGAGGGCACTTTTGATTTGGTCAGCATTTAGCAGAAAGGAAACATCTGTCTCCATTTTTTGGGGTTGATCTGTCAAAGTGACTGTTAGCATCTCAGAGCAAACACGTCGTCTACTTCCCTCACTCTGCTTGATTGTTCCCTAAAAGACTCGATGCAGACGTCACTGTTTCTACCACAATGAGTGGAGTGTCAGTGGAGCTGGTGATAAAACTCTGGACAGAAATTTAAATATAAAAAGCTCATAGTTTGAAACTAAAAAGACTTAAACTGCTTTTAAAAGCTTTGTACCATTGGTGTCCTTCTCTTGCATGTATTCAGTGCATATATTGAATAAAAATATGCTGCTAGTACTGCTGAAATCATCTTTTCTTATTGCTTTCTAATTACGTTTTCCATCTTGAAACACATAATTGGTTTTATAAGAGCCTTCCAGAGTCACAGGTTTCACATCCCTGGTTTAGATCAGTGTATTTTTATGTATCAGAATGGCCTAGTCAAAGTGCAGACTAAAGTTTTAAATGCCTAGTATTTTCTATTAATATTAATAAGAGAATACATTGCAAGGATATGTAAAGAGACAAATTGCATTATAATTGTTATATGATGTAAAGAATCATTTATATTTAAAGGGAAGTATAAAAAATATGTATCAAAAGCAAAAATATATTTTACAGAGGTTCCTATTATTTACTTAATTATCTATTTACACGTCCATCAAAGTCTTGGTCCTCTCTACATTACAACAGCACAATTAAACTCCAGATTGTCAATAAACCTCTATTGAAAAGGGTCCCCAAAATTAGACCACCTGTTTGATATAATTATTTTCTCCGAGTTATTTTTGAATTGTGGTGATGATTTCAGGTGAAATGGTTTAAACTTGCCCACAAGAAATAAACAAAGAAATAAAAATCTCAGATATCGCCAGGCTGTCTAAAAGTGCAGTGGCTCTTTAATTTAAACGCTGCCAAAATGTTAAATGGAGAAGACTGACATGTTTACAGAGAGAAAACGTGTTGAAATCAGATCTGAGGACGCGATGTTCTGCTGCAAAGACAAATGAAAACAATCGTGTGTGTGAGCACTGATGCAGTCTACGAAGCAGCTCGGTCAGGTTTAAAGGTGATCTTTAGACGGAGACACGAACGCAGGTTTCCGTTGGTCTTACCGTGAATCCTTTCTCCACCGAGCTGTTCTCCGAACGGAACGACGGGATCGACAGTCGGATCGGGTGCATTTTTCCGCCGGACCGAACGGTTCTGTTTGGGTTCTAAGTGATCGTCTAGCGCGCAAACACAAAAGCATTTAGCTCAAACACTGACTACTGGTGGTTTACTGCAGTTAGTGTGATAAAAATCACTGAATTCAAATCAACTCAGGCATGTCTCAGTGCTGCCCCCTTATGGACTGGATGACATGGATTGTAGGCTGGATGGTGAAAATACTACTAGAAATTGTATTTTATTAAATTGTTTTAAATATAGTGAAATTATTAAATTACTTACAGACGCTTTAGTATATATATATATATATATATATATATATATATATATATATATATATAAGCAATTTCACGTTTCTGAAGCTTTCTTTCTTTTATTTTAAAAAATAACATAAACAAAAAATCCTTTACTTATTTTACTAATAGGAACCTCAGTAAAATGTTTTTTGTTTGTAATAGTTCCCTTTAAATCTAAGCGATTCTTTACATCTTAAAATAAAACACTACAGTAGTAAAACGTATTGCAAACAACTAAAAGTAATCGTAACAATAGTAATATAAAAATGTCATTTAGTGATAAATTGTTTAACAAATAATAAAAATAATAAAAAACATTAATTATGTTTATGTAGATAAACTGATTAGCAAAAACCTATTGCTTCACTTTCAGTAATCATTGACTGTTATTTCACTCAGCAGTCACAGGACGTTTGCCAACACATGAAGAAACTAATCTGTTTTTTCTTCTTTTTGATTGCATGCAGTTTATTAAAACAGAACAAAAACGGTTAAAAATAAACACATAAAGAACCAAAACATTCAAGACAATATCTGCCAAATTTATTTAAGAAAGATCCATCAAAAGCTTTGGAATAAAGAATTTTTCTGCTGCATATAAATATAATAAATGCATTTTCCTTTTAGATAGCCATTTTACTTTTTGATACATTGAGTAAGGGACTAAATGAAAGCAGATTCAATGTGGAAATCCCTGAAGAGAAAAGCCCAAAAAGAAGGAGAAGATACAATGACTAAGCACTGAAGGGCATTGTGCTGTTAAGCTCTTAAATATAGCAGATTTATTTAAGTGTCTTACAATAAAGGCATACGGGATACGAGAGAGGGAGAAAAAGTATAAGAGAGTTTTTTTCCTCATAAAGCAAGGAGGATTCAATGTAATCTTATGCCATAATATCTGATGGTTATGTTTACTTTTTTTCTAAATTTTTTATTCTAAAATAAAAGTATGTCACATATTATCATCTTTTACACATCCCCTGTTGATCTCCGTCCTCTTCGAAGTCATTCACACAGGAAACTTGCTCAATATCAGTGGATCATCACTGCTGTAACTTAATATCTGAAAAATACAGAAACAAAAGGAGCATGTGAATTAAAAGAGAACACAATCTTCAAAAAAAAAAAAAAGTCACTTCATCCATGATACTTACGGCGACATGTGGCACCCGGACACGTAGGCATAGTTGCCGGTGTAACGTACGTCACACCGCACTATGTTGTTGGAGTAGTCCGACTCTTCAACTTGATAGGAAGGATTTACACTGATCTGTGCACAACAAACATTACGAAACAAAGACGTATCAGCAACGTCATTAACTGGAGACTCTAGAACGAAATGTGCCTGTCTGGCACAAACCTTGAGGGTATATTGTCCAGGCTGCACATCTGTGATGTCGATCCACTGACAGTCGATGTCTGCGTTGTAGGTGTCATAGCATCCTGGGCTCAGACCCTGCACATCAAACAGTATCCACATTCAACAATAATATGATAAATAATGTGCAGATCTTTCACATCATTAATGCTAAAGGTAATTTCTAGCTATTCTAAAGTATGTTACTGCTTTATTGTACTTAAAAGAACAACAATTACAAAACAACCTACATTTCTAAATTATTTGAGTTGAAATCAAATAATGAATCAGGAAATAGGGAACATAGCACAAAGGTTGTTTAGGCCAAAACTTCCTTCTTACCATCTCTCTTATCATATATGGATGTTATTAAAGTTGAGATTATACGTAATTTTTGATTGAGAAGTTTTTAATTAAACTCAACTTCTGAACCATGATGCCGGTGCACCGGTCTAGTGTTCAGCTGTAAAATCTTGGTTTTAATCCAAGTATTTTTCACCCTGTAAAATATATTTTCATAGAGAAAGAGACTGTTTTTACTGCGGTAGCTTCCTTTTTATCTGTTTCATCGGAAGGAATCCCAGAGATCCCAACACTAAGGGAAGTTACATAAAATAAAAGTGTATTGTAAATTAAAGGTTGTCACTTCATCAACATCAAGACCTGACAGAACAGAAAGGCTTCTAGTGAAATGGCATTTCACTAGGAGACAAAAGTGACAGGACAAGCTTGTTATTTTAATATATTTAACCCCCTAAAACTGAGGTATGGACTTTTAAATGAGCGTAGCATGGATTCTGGAAACACTCATAAGTGTCACAGTTTTGTTCTACGTCTAAATGTGCATTCATTAAAAAAACTGGAACTTATTTTGAGACCTGTGTGTGTGATGTGCAGGCGTATCTCCGGTAGTATCCGTAGTCACAGGAAGTGTCTTCCAAGCAGAAGCTAGCCTTGTGGCCCTCTGCCACCGACCGCTGAGTAGAGGTGTCCAGCAGCTCATAGTGGCTGAACTCGTCCATGCTGTGGTAGTGCCTGTCGATCATCAGCAAAACACACAGGTCAGAGAATAAACTGTTTCTGCAACCACTGGACACCAGGTATAAATTCCCCAACGTCACGGGTGATAATTCAATTTTCAATATACACAGTTATGTGATCTTGTGCAGAACGACATCTGGTTTAACTCTGCTGTCTCTTAAGAAAACAGTCTGGCCTCTAACTGCACTTGACTTTCAGAACACAGACAAAAAATCTATGCAGACCACATCAACAGTTTGCTGGATCGTAGCCAGAAGGGCTCCATATCTGGAACCAGCCCAGTCGACCTCTCGCTTCACAGCATAACTATGGAGTGAGGTAGTTTCAGGAGAAACTGAAGTAGGACTTTTACAGTAATCCCAGGGAAAGATCTGAAAGATCAGCACGATCCCCTTTGGAAGCCTTAAACTCTACATCTTATTGTATTTATCCACATAAATCTTTTTGTTGATCATGAATCAAACACTGTAGCTCTGTTTAAGTTTATTAACTTCATCTCATAAAGAAATATGGACAGCTATTGATCGCATTTGAATTGGACATGTATCGCATATGAGTTGCATTCCAAAAGAATCCGACCTGTGCTGTTCAGACTGCCATGAAAAGATCAGATACAGGTCATATTATGTAAAAAAAAAAATCTGAATTGGGACACTTCAGGCTGCAGTGTGAACACAGCCAAAAAATTTCAAAGTTGCTGTGGTTTACCATAATAACAAAAAGAAAATGTAGTCATCAGCATATACTGTGAAAGCATTCTTTCTGTGTTTCAATAACCTCTAAT